ATAATTAGATAGCACCTTTTGGCAACAGTCAAGGGCAACCTCACTCTCCTCTGTATTATAGTTAGCATATGAGACAGTACTTCAACTGAGTCAGACTGAGAAACAGAAGCTGAAAGTGACCGGCCTTCAGGAGAGTTTCATCTTAATGTTTTTCATGATTCCCTTGGAGCCATCAAAAAATTCTGTATCTTAGGTTCACTGTATTTGGAGTTGATCAAAGTTTCCTGCACCATCATATCAGCACCAGGTAATGGCTGCTATTAAGGACAGTGTACTGCACTCACTGGACAAAAATCCTGTGGGGAGAGTTACAGAAGAGGTAAAATGAGAAGCAGAATTCTTACCAGCTGCAAACTGAACCTGATGCTCTAGTAGTGACATTTCCAGGTGGCAGGGCTTTTCAGAAAAATAGGACCAATGTATTTGTTATACCTGGCTAGCATACTCTGATATCATTTTCTAGGATGTTTTAACTATTTAACTGTTGGTACAAGAAAAAGAAAATTTTAAAAATTAACTTGTCAAGATGTGAACATTTTAATGAATTAGGAAGTTGCTGACTTTCAAAAGTAAAAAGTAAAAACATCCCCAACGAATGCTTTCAAAAAAGTGAACCCCCCACATTTTTTGTGTGTATTTCTTCATTACATACGTATTATTATATGATTATATTATTATCCATTACATATATAAAGAACATAGGAGGGAGGATGATGTATCTTGGGATATGACTACAGGCCCACACCCTTTTCTTTCTTACATTGCGCTCTCCCTAACTTTGTCAACCATGAGTTCGGAGGCTGGGCTGTGCAGCCCCTTTAATTTTCCTATCCCCATTCCCCTTCTGCAACATATATAGGAAGAACATATGTGTAAACACATACATACATAAAACATATGCATCATGTTACATACATACATGTGTACATGAACATGGCATGCAGAAATGTGTGCATATGTATGTATACAAGTCCATGGCTACACTTTGGAGAGCGAGAATGGCTTTCTGAAACAAAGGATTGGTTTAAGGTCTCTAAGCCTTGCCACTGGTTTGCACCTCAGGAAAGAGAACTATTGTAACAAGGCTGTAGCCCACACTGTCTACTCACATAAATTGGAATCGCTCCATTTGAAGTCAATGGAGCTGCATCAATTTGCGCAAGCAGAAGAGCTGGCCAAGTATGTACTAGTTACTTTACATTCTGAGAAGACAATGTTCATAATTGAAAGTAATACCAAATGCTCTTAGCAAATACTATGAATTATTCAGATTAAATGTAGAGCCTTCAAATGACTCCATAAAATGTTCTAAACAGCTGTGCCTTGTAATTGGAACTGACTGGCAAACGAAAGTATTGGATGTAATCTGAATTTTACTTGATATCCGAATAAAATGAGTGTAACACTAACCATATTCTGAGGCCTGGCTGGGGTTATGCTTGGGTTTCTATTAATGCTGTTTACTCTTCAGGCCTTTTCTTCTTTGCAGCTGCAGTAATCCCAAATGAACAAAGCATGTAGCTCCATGTTTGAGGTATGAGGATATGTACAACTCACACAACATGAATGAGGTAGACAATGAAAATAGGTGTTGGGGAATTAATGGTTTGGAGTGGAACCAGTGGTTTTCTACTATTTATGTGCACTTCAGTTCCTAAAATAAAGCAGTTTTTGCTTTGCAGCTATAGCTTTATTTTGTATAAGCTGAACAGGATTCATAGCGGAAACTGACCTGTAAACAACTGTTTCTGTGTGTGGCTATTTATCAAAGGCCTGTCTACTTAATTCAGAACAACTGTGTCCCATCTTCAGAGGCTTGTATACCTTGTTTATATGACAGATATCTGAAGACCAAATGTTTTTGCCTGAAGTGGTATTTTTGGGTATCTATCTGAAGTGTGAGATTCATATTCAAAAGAGAAGAGCAGAAAGTGCTCAGCATTTCCTGAAAACTGGATCCTCTAAAACATTGGAAAGTGGGGAGGAAAATTTTGAGGACATTCATTCATCAGATTAGAAAATGTTGTCATAAAAGCTGTCATTTCTTAGTTTCATAATAAGTTGTATCCCAGTCTTGGCTCTTACATACCATATTCTATGTCTGCAGTATAGATATATATTTTTTTATTCATGTATAACACTAACCCTTAAACATATTTTTTGTTAGCTTCAGCTTGATTCCTCAGGACAAGCCCTTTCATCTTGAAGTGTGTAAAAGCTCTATTACTGAAGAGCCTATAGTGTGGAGGTTAGATTAGAAAGGAGTGGGGCAAGTAACTGTCCAGTGAATGTTTGTGGTGATGCTTATAACACGGATCGTGACTGTAGACAACAATGCAGAATGCAAAAAGTTCTCTTTCTAGAGAAGAAAAGGCTCGGGATGATCTTATTGTTGTATATAAATATCTGAAGGGATGGTGTAAATAAGATGGAGCCAGGCTCTTTTAGTGGTGCCCATGACAGAACAAGAGGCAACAGTCACAGACTAAAACACAGAAGGTTCTGTCTGAACATAAGGAAACATTTTTTTACTATGAGGGTGACTGAAAACTGGCAGAGGTGGCCCAGAGAGGTTGTAGTCTCCATTCTTTTAGATATTCAAAAGCCATCTGGACATCGTCCTGGGCTACTGGCTGTAGGTGGCCCTGCTTGAAGAGGGATGTGGGACAAGATGACCTCCAAAGTTCTCTTCCAATCCCAACCATTCTGTGATTCTGTGATACTGTGATGGTAGGTTTGAAGTGCTCTGCATCATTTCTAATGAATGTATGCAATGTTACATGTTATTAGCACAGGCCAGCAATCTGATGTTGTGTATGTTTTTAAGAATTTTCTTTGAGACTCACAGCATCCTAGGACATTGTCCCCCAGGTCGTCAAAATACATGCTTGCTCAGTCATAAAGCTTTCAGGTTAGACATTACTCCAGCAACTCAATGTAAATGTCACACTCTGCCAAAGACATATTCCCATTCTTTGGCAAGAACACTGTGTAAGGCAAATAAATTAACAACATGAAAAACAATGAAGCAAAACTGACAGCAGCATGATGCACTTGTTTTTTTCATGTTTAATCCCCGCAACTGCATCCCATAAGCCAAGGTAAATGGTGGACAGTTTGGAAGACGTGTACTCTGATTGCCTTAGGAAACAGACGGACATAAGGGCAGATTAATAATGAAAGAGCTAATGCACCCCTTGGGAGAGAGGTACCTTCTGTTATTTTATTTGACACATTTTTCCTGAAATGTCCCTTATTCCAAATACTTCCAGAAGCTTCTGACTACAGACCTGTGGGCAGGGTGTGAACAACACATTTCATCACTTTATTACTGACAGTATCCACAAGGGGCCAATTTATCTGACCAAATTTCCAGAGCTTATAGGATTTTCAAAAGTATTAATAAAAATAAAGGTGCAGAAATGTAAGAGAACTTAATATATTGTCATTTATGTGAGACTGATATCATGCTTTTTTTTGAAAATTGCTCTACGTTCCCATTGACATACTCAGATATCTAAAATCTCTTATTTGGGATAAGAGCTTGATTTTTCTCTTTCACCTCAATTTTGCAATGGTTTCTGTGGTGTTGTATCAATATATGAAACTGAGAGTTAAATCTCAGTAATTTCAACTGAATTGTATTCCTTATTTGTAAAATAACCATATTACTGAGACTACTGTTGTGTGCAGCAAATGCACATAGGACTGTATAATCAACATCTAATTAGCCCCACTTCAAGTTATATTTGCTAATGTTAGCTTTCTTACAGCTATAATTTTTTCCTTTAACCATTATAGCAGTTGAATTTTAATTACATTACCAACAAAAAGCTCATTAACGTCACGTAATTGGCAGCATTTCCAAAAAAACCTGAACTAATTGAGTATTTGCTGAAGAGTTCCCATCAAAGTATAATTTAACCATTACAAACAGCTTGGCAACTACATTTACATAAAGATGTGTCTGAGGAATGTTCTCATGTGTGGAAAATCAGATTTGATATTGCCATTAACAAAATGAAGGAAGCTGTTACATAGCAAATCACTTCCACATTTTAATGATTTTGGCTAAACCCCATGTTTTTGTCAAGAGGGTCAAATGAAACCCCTTGCTTTTCCACCAAGCAGCAGCAACCAATCTCTGACTGAGAGTTAAGAAGCAGCTTGCTTTGTGGGAAGGCTACTCCACAATCTTTTCCAGGTTATTTTGTACTCTCATGGGCTAATAGCAGAGATGAGCTACTGTGTTAGACAGCCTACTGCATAAGAACCACTGTCTAACTTAGAATTTTTTATACATGTGACCAGAGAATAATTTAACCTACAAGGGATCTCTTGCCAATTATCTTGTTCATGTTCTTGTATTATTTAATTACTAATGAAAAGAATAAAAGTATTCCAACCTTAGCCTCTAGCATTTTTTAAAGACTCCCTAAAATAGTTTCACTGGAAACAAAGCAAAGAAAGCCTGCATAATCCTTTGATCTTCCCCTCCAGCCTGGGATGAATGACATTGAGATTAATTTGAAAGGTGAGGTGATTAGAGATTAAAACCAGGCTAATATGGCTCACATTCTGAATATAGGGAGAAAAAACACTGAGATAAAATAGCTATCATGAACGTTCTACTTTCATATTTAAACCTGAACACTGAGAGTTTTGCAGAATCAAGGTTTCAAATAAAAGTTGAATAAATTTTGAACACAGCATTCAATATTCTCGATAATTAGCCAAACTTCAGCTTTAAATATTGTGTGTTCCTATTGCTGCTTGGATTCTTCCCAAGAAATTAGAAATAAATTTTGAGAAACTGGTTCTTTTTAGGATGCTAATTAGGTATGTGCACTGCTTTCTTTGTCCCTTCCCATTTTACAGTTGTAGTTAACAAATGCAAGCATATTCATCTGGCAGTGTGCCTTTGCAATGGGCCACTTATCTTTGGATTGCAGAATGTAAGTTTAAACAAGATGGCAATAAATGCACGTGGCATTTTACATTCTGATTTTATTTTTTCTACCAAACAGGTGTTAAGTGTGACAAAACATGTATTAGCATAACATTTACTAATATACAGTATCAAAAGGAGATGTAAACATCAAGTTTAAAACTTCAAAGTTCCTGTTATCAATTCACCTGAAAACTATATAACCTGGGCACTGTTACCATTATATTCTCCCAGAGATTATCAGATGCCTCAGCACGCTCTGAATAGGCTACTTATTCTGACAAAGAAAAACATTGTTTGAGGAAGTGGGTCATATGTGTGTAAAGATGTTTGCTGGAAAGGCCTGGAATTCCATGGTTCTGGTCAGTATACCACTGAAAAAGAAAAAAAAAAAGCCATAAAACCCCTATGTTATGTTTTCAATTCTGCAATAGTTAAACAATACAAGAACTTTATTTTATTATCATATAGAAGAAAGTGTATGCCTCAAGAAAACAGAGGGACTTGCTAATCTTTTTTATTTTCATCAGTTTCCAGTATATTCATATTGTTGCTGAAAAAAAGTTTCTAAACCTTCTGTAATCTAGGAGTAAGCATTACTGCCTCAGTACTGGCAAGTCAGTTTCATCAAGTCAGGCAAAAGAGCTTTGAGATGCCCTTAGGGATGAAATGCCCTCGACCTGCTACATGGCCTTTGCAATAGGGGTCACAGTCTTGTGTAGGAATACTGGGCTCTGAGCAACAAGCTTTCAGCTGAATGTTGTGGAATTCTACTCAAAACATTCTGCATTACGGCAGGGCCATGAACATTATGAGTGGTGTACTGCAAATAAAATATACACATGAATTATGCTAACTCTTAGAAATAGCTGACATTCCCCTGTAGCTGAACTAGAATGACTACAACTGCATACAGTATTCCAGATACTTGAGAAATAAACCAGGTTTGCTAAATATCAGTGAAGGAGGCAGAAAATGTGGAATACACAAAAGGGGCTACAAACCCCAAATACAGGAGGATCCCTATGCGATACCTTTTTGTGGAGTTCATAGCCCTGGGAAAGTGGATTCAGGCAGAAGGCCAGTATGTTTGATAGCAGGCACTTTGGTCATTAGGCCAGAGAAAAAAGGTGCAGAAGCAGAGCTTAGCATGTAATTCAGAACTACTCTTCCCCTGTTAATTTCTCTTTTATATCCTCTAACCTCTTGCCTATGTGTTTCTCTCTTTGCCTGCACTTGCTACCCCAAGCAGGTTTTGCAGAGAACTTGGTTTTTTTTCTGATCGTGGATATATTGCTTGGATACCTTATACCCTTTTTGCCTGTTTCACTTCATGCCTGTGGCAGGCATGTCCAGTTCAAGATAGAATCTATTAGAACCAGTGATGGTTTTGGTCCCAGAAGCCAGCTCCTTCATCTTCCTCTCTTTTAGTAGCTATCAGCAACTTTCATAGGGAGGCTGGATTCTCACCCATCTCCCTGGCTCATTTTAAAAGCCTCTAAGTTATTCTTGACAAAAGAGAAATCCTGCTAGCATCCAGAGGGCATGAAGGAAAAAAAAAAAAAGCAGGCAAATCCTTTGAGGAAGAAATTGTTTATGAAGAGTAACAAATGCACTAGCAATTGCCAATTTTTTAAGCATGTTAAGTTGAACTAGGTTCTTAAAAACATTGCCAAATGTCAGATAAGCTTGTTGATAAAGCTATAAACCACTGTTCAAAATGAAAAATAGTCTGTTATTTACCATTGCCTGGAAATCCACCTGTGCATTAACCAGAGCTTTTGCGATTTGTGCTGAGTTCTGAAAATGTACATTATCTGAAAAAGAAAAAAAAAAGAGATTGGCTGTTGAAATGTGTAAATACCACAAAGCATAAAGTTGTAGTGCATTAAGTTGTGTCCACTAATTACCAAGTGATACAGTTGACATTACTAAGAATGAGTAAGCATCTTATAATACGTCATATGGAAATCTACCAAAGATCTAAGTACTGACCCCAATCAAAGGCAGACAAAGATGCTTAATGTTTTTCAAACAAAGTGATTCTGGGTCTGTATTTGTACTGCCATTTGCAAACCTCACCATCTGCTGTTCCGTGGATGAGAAGATACTCTACGTTTTGGAAATTCTTTGCTCTTGCCATCACAGTTGAATTCTGTTGAGAGGAAAAATGAACAGATCAGCAGCTTCAATTTAAACCACTCAGTCACGGAGCTGAAAGGCTCCCTAGTTACCTAGTAGAACAACAATCAAACAGTTGGACTGGCATAATAACGACAGCAGTGACTTCATATCAATCTGAGATTATAACAGAAGCCACATATATTTAGTCCCTTTTCTAGGGGCCAGTTCACAAAAAGCACAGCACTAGCCATGTGTCATTCCCTGAACACTAATTCCTGGCTACCCAGACAGCTCTACCAGGGCAGTTTGGTATTGAGCATTTCTGTTCTTTTAGTTGGAATGGAGAATAGGTACTGAGAACAGGATCCAAAACCCTCTGGGCGGTAATTCAGGCCGCTGTATCCAGAGCTGGTATGTGTGCTGCTAGAGGAAGCTATAGACTTCCTATCAATGTGAAGAAAAGAAGAAAGGCATCCTGTTCCAGGTAGGGTAGGGGAAGCTGTTCTGACTGTTCAGTATGCTTATGATGTTATTATCAGAGAGCCAAATTTGCATGAACCAGTTCGCCTAACACAGCTAACAGTACCAACCAAAACCTTATCAATATCAACATTTTAACCCTTCTCACATAAGTTCTTTCCTAGGCTAACGGTTTGCACTAGCAGAACCGTCTGACTTGTCCAAGTGCGAAAATAAGGATCCTTCAATTTAGCATATTTATGATTGATAAATACAAAATCACAAGTAACTATGGAGATACGAATTTCACAGCAGAGCTTAGCTGCTACAGGACTGCCACTATGAGAGCTGGCGGGTCATTTTCTTTCTTCACAGTTCTACTTGTCCATGGAAGTGTGATTCAAGTTTAAGGCAGCTCAACACAGAAAGAGAATTCTCACCTTGTAGTGCTCAAGATTATCGGACTCTACAGGAAGACCCATAAATCGTTCTGTGTAGATAGATGCTGTGATATTAAAGAAGAAAAAGATATAGATAAAGAATGTACAGATATTTTTGTGCCTCCAGTGACATGTAGAAAATTAAATGTTATTTAACTGTATCTGTTCCACTTGGTTTCCTTGTCATACACCAAATTTAAAAATACTTTAAAAAATCATCTATGAAGGTTAATTAATAAATGTCCTCCAAACCATCCTTGCAGGAATAGTGGTTTGATACTCATCTGTGGAACCACCAGAAGGTTTTGTGGATAAAGGTAACTAACTGATACTGCTTTATGCTATTGTGTTGAACTCCAGAAGTCAGTTGAATGAGCCAATGAGCCAATAAAGGTTCATGGTGGAAAGATGACACAGGCTGTTTTTGACACCTTAAAAAGAGAAGCTGAGCAGAATTCCAACCTGGGATGTGTATATGTATATAGTGTAAATATGAATATTTAAGTTGTCCTTTTCCTATTGAATAGATATATGCAGCAATTAGGGGGAGCAGGAAATATACAGGTTTGCACTGAAAAAGAGGTGCAATTGCTGTTTGGGTCTCTGTTCAATTCCTTTGTCTAACTACAACAAAGACCGTTAACAGATTTGACAAAACAAATGCGAATAACTGAACATCATCTATCACCACGAAATCTGTAGGAACAGCTATCTTTGAGCTGCCTGGGTATTTGTAATTTAACTACGAGCTGTTATGAAAATTTGTGGAAAACTGACGCAGCAGCTGTCACTATCAGAACATTACTTTCTTTATGACCTTGCCTTGAAAGAGTAACTGACACATATTGAGCAGTCAAGCTGCAGTATTACAAGAATTTTATTTATTTAACGGAGTCAGGACTTTCTGACAAAGAAGAGCTGGCATCTTTCCCTCCCATAAGAGAGGCAATGGCCATTGTACTCAGTGAGAAATTGAGATTGTCTACCTTGTTGTCCAGTTTGGTACACTGCATTAGAGTAATTTTGTTAAAAAGCAGAAATGAGAATCCTCCCAGGAAAGGACAATGACTCAATATAGTCACATTCCCATGGTTTATTATGTATCCTTTACATACCACTGAGTGCTAAAGTTGAGTAATATGTCTCCCATATCAGCCAAGTAAGGCTCCTGAAGATAATTTGTAATAAACTAAGTACCAAAAAAATCTAAGTAGCCTATCTTTTATCAAAATTCTTTATCATTCAATGAAAACAGAAAATGTGCAATATCTGTTGTCAACACAGTGTCAAACAACCATATTGGGCTTAAGTTTTCAATAAAATAGGCTCTTTCTGAATGGCTGGCATTTCTACAGTATTCTGAGCCAAATTCTCCACTTTCTTCTACCAGTATAGCTACAACAAGTCCACAGAGGTCAGCAGAATTGCATTATAATGACTGAGTGGAAGATTCAGCTTGTCAATTACTAAGAAAGAAAAAGGAGATAAATAGTGAATTTTAATAAAACAGTCACAGATCTAATGCTTTTAACTATACATTGCTCCCGAATGCAATTTCCCTTGCCATCTTATAACTGTTCAGCTGTTATTAACTCTGACACAAAATGGAGGCGACTGGGAGGATTTCAGAGAAAAGAATACAGTCTAGACTTTAATCTGTGCATCTAAAAGAGGGTGGGACAGAATTTAGAAGCTCTAGGGGCCAGTACATCCTCTGACATACCAATGCTACTTAGAGACTCAAGTACGTAATATCCTGTAGTTTGCCCCTAACACAGTTCACCCTAATGTTAACATGATCTGTTTACCAAAACTTATGACTCATGACTTCCTTCTGTTTCCTTCCTTCCTTAGTAGAGGTACATTTGTCTGTTTGGATTTGACAATGTGTTTTTAGCAAGATTCTTTAACGCTCACCTGAAAATTCAGCTAAAGTAAAGATTGCAATGGTGTGGGTCTAATCTACTTTAACTTAAAAACTTCATTAAATTTTTAATGCTTGGACAATGTTATAACTCATATTGAAGGACTTCTGCAAAAATAGTGCTTTATGCCTGTATTCTGGAAATAATTTTGCAATCATGAGTGAAAATGTCTTTAAAAAATCTTGATGCCGGTGAAAACACGAAGACTGTGCTTCCTGTGTCATATAAATGTTTTCCCCTTTGTTTGCAAAACACCATAAATACAAGGAATGTCTGTACTAGCAGTCAGGAAAGGAATCTTTCACATTTAACCAAAAAATTTTCTCATAACTAAGATTTCTTAGCAAACGACCATATGCTAAGTAAATGTGTTCAAAGTGCTACATTTTGCTCATTGAAAACATGCATGCCATGATTCTTTTTTACACTAAAGTTTTCTTATACCAACCCAAAAGCTTAACAGGTATGCAAGTAAGTATGAATATGTGCCTGCTTTATTTACACAGTAAGGCCCTGGGAGTATACTCCTGGAGTTTTTTCCTCTGAACAGTTTGGAGCCTAAGACAATAAACATAAATAAAAATATGTCTCGCAACACAACAGCATAGGTTTGGCTCAGAAGCATCTAAAGCAGAAAATAGTTAATAAAACCCCCCTATATCAGACACAACTGAGTCCCTCTCTTTTCCACTGCTTTTGGGAAATAACTTTGCAATCATCAGAGATACTGATTCCTGACAGAGATCATCTGCAGCATCTGAAGTTGAGATACACTGTGATTCCATTACTGGCAGAAAAATCATTTCAGCTGTTTCTGAATTCAGTGATACTGTTTTAACAGGATTTTTAGGGAGATCACTCCTGAGTATAGACATTTATGAAGAAGGCTTTACACACTTACTGTTACAGATGTGCATATGGAATTATCTGGGTGTACCTTCTTCTATGTGAAAGTATGTTCCAAACTGCCAGTTGCAGTCAGTTATTTTCAGCAAGGAAAACATTAAACTTAAGGTCTTAAGAGTTTTATGTCTAGGTAATTGCAATGACTTTAAGTTTCACATTGCCAGTCTCCTGCAATGATCTAATTTAGAAAGTCATTAAAAGCTACATCTTGCTTTCCAAGTCAGTATTTAGGACAAGTTTCCATACCGTAATATTCCCAGCTGGAAACTGGAGCCACAGCCATGCCACATTTAAATACTCCACTGCCAGATCCAAGTGCCAAAGAAGTTACGTACCCACCATAGGACTAGGGAGAAATCACAGACAGTTTAAAATTATTGGTGAAGTATCATTTTGTTTTCTGAATCAAACTCATATAAATTAATTCCAAAGTAAATATTTTGCTTTGAATGCATGAAGGACAAAGCAACAAAAGCTTCTAGTTTTTTTTAAATATAATTTATTTATTTCAAATAGCTCTGATGTGATTTCTTGTAAGACAGATTAGACAATTGTATTGAATCACTTCTTTTTGCTATTTCTTCAATGCTTATCACAGGATAGTGCTCTTATTACCACTTAGAATCATAGGAAAATTTAAGTTGGTAAGGTCCTTAAAGGTCATCTAGTGCAACTGCTATCTCAAAACAGTGCTAACTTCAGATTTAAACGAGGTTGAGCCACATCCACACTACACAGCCTCTCCACTCAATCTGTTTCAACACCTATCACTGTTGTTGTAAAAATATTGTTCCTAAAACCTAAACAAAGTTTCCCTTGTGGCAACTTGTGTTCATTGTCTCTCATCCTTTCAGTGTGCACCTCCAAGAACACTTACAGGTTTTTCCCTTCCTTAACAAACTACCTAGTTTTTGCTAATGATTTGCATCTTGAATGAACCCCATCATCAGTACTAACAAGCTCAGCTACTTGAGAACTTGAGGTTGGAGCAATTCCTCCCTACTGCCTGCCACTGTTCTTGTTTTCTGGCCTGAATAAGTTCACAGCTGGAAGTTAGGTAAAGTAGTAAGTAAGCCTGGATACCAGAACAGATCTGTGCAACTGTGCGGGGCTAGCTGCTGAGACAGGAAAATACTGTAAATAAAAACCATTTAGTTTGGCTGTCCATAGCATGTGGAACTGGGTCTGGAAAATACTTGTATAACGTCTTTGGGAAATAATGGGTTAATGTTTACTTTGGAATGGAGGAAGGGATAAAAATATGGGGTGTGTCATGAAGAATTCTGAAGATTATCAATGCCATCAGTAGCATATAGAAGACTAAGGGAAATAAGCAAAACTGATTTTTTTTTTTATACAGAAGTAAGTTAGCCCCTCCCTCCTCTTGACATTCCAGCTTGAAATGACAGTGAGAGATATGTTAATGGTACCAGTAATTAGTACATTTTTTCCAGCTCATTTTATTGGCTCACTTGATCTTTTAAAAAATCAGTCCACAAGACTAAAAAGTAAAGGATTAGGATCAGGCAGATAAATCTATGCACTGTAACAGGCAGAGAGATAGAATTCAAAACTTGAATTGCTTTAGTGGTTATTTAAGAGCTTTTTCCATCCAGAAGATTTTGGTGAGTCTGAAAGTATGGTGAGCTGCATAGTTCATGCATACCTGCCAAGCTGCAGGCTATAAATAAGGAAACATTTTCAACTCCTTTCAAAGGTTATGGACCAGGAAATGGTATAATAAATATGAAAAAAAAAATGGAAAAAAGGACTGACGGGTTTGGCAATAATGCTGATATTTGAATATTATATCCGCTACTGGGATACAATGCTTTAGATGTGTGAAATCTCTTAACTGGTTCTGGAAACATTGTGGTGAAATAAAATATGATGTGATTAAAAAAATAAAATGTTTTCATGTGGCCTTAACTTACTTAATGTCACTTTATTCACTTGTAAGTGTCTGTGTCACTTAATTTCACCATATGGTACCCCATTTTATCCTAGTGTTATAGCAGTGTCTGACCAGAGTAATTTAAATATTACTTGGTAGAAACTTCATAGAAAGATTTTAGCAGCCCCGCTCACGTGCTATCTAAGATCAAGCAACTTCTATAGTTAGAGTTGAACTGAATCTTACAAGATTCATCCTCTAGTGTGTTTCTGGGCATCCTCTTACAATGAAACTGGGCCAATGAAAACAAACAAACAAGCAAAAAACAGCAAAAAAATAAACAAAACAAACAGTGACAGATCAGAAGAATTCTCCTGGCAAAGACAGGCAGTTAAAGAGAATGAAATAAAAGGTCTTTCCGAATGATAATCAGGGAAAAATGAACATGTATGGAGAGGAAAATATCAGAAAATGTTACTGCGTGGCTAACATACCAGTTTATTTCTGTAACCTTTTTTAGTTAGTGCTGCCTGTTACTGCTGGATAGCTGACACTGATTTACTCAGAGAAGAAGTAAGGGTGGCTGACAGAGGTCTGGCCTCCAACTCCCTTTAGCATTCCTTACAGTACTGTCCCTAAGCCATGAGACCCTCAGGTGTTGCTTATCAGCTCGTTCTCCTGCACAGTAGCATCTGTTATACTGAAGCTGGGTAGGAGGCAGGGCTCCAGTTTTGTCCATGCATTCTTGATCCAGCCATTCATGATGAACATGAGCAATTGAGTCAGATGGCCTAAACATCTTAAAAATCTCTATAAAGGAGCTGTGTGGCATTTATGCTGCCACTGAAGTTGGCTTCAGCTCTCCCATACATAACACCACCAATGGGTCTGCATGCCATTTCCATGAATAGTCCTCCTTTGAAGCTGACAGCACAGAAAAAAAAATCTCAGCTATTCCAATAATTTATTTTTCTATATTTTTCTATTAGAATGCAGTGTTACCCTAAAATTTGTACTTGAGGTATGCTACTCAATTTCTCAGTGCCTAAAGGGTGGTGGAATCTCGCCATTTAGTAATAAAGACTTGCAATACATCTGGCTATAGAAGGTTCTGTAAGTGTTACAAAGCAAAGTACATGAAAAAAATCAAAGATGAACAATAGACTGTCTAATTATTTGGAATTACTCCTACACTGTCCAATTTTTTCACTTCCTTGTGAAGCTGTCAGAGTTGTATACCCTTCAGACTCACATTTATCCCCACTGACCATTTCAAAGCCATCCAAGTATACAGTGATTCAGAATGATGCAAGGGTCATATTTTCTGATGAGAGATATCCATAGGATTTTCCTCATTATTTTAATCTCAGATCAGAAAGGACAATACTTGAATTTTGACACCATGCCAGTTAAATCCCTAAATTAAAATTAGAAGCCAATTAAAACATCTCAATTTTGCTTAACTTCAAGTCCAAACAATGTATTAGACTTAAGCTTTTCAAAATTCCCTCTTGAGCTGCCAAAGATCCCTTTTTGGGGGCTTGCACTGTTGCAACTGCATGTATATAGGCATGAACATGAATTACCCACTTTTGCAATACCATCAAACACTGGTAGAAGAAACTTTGTACAGATTTAGGACAGAATAAGGAAGAATTAAAAAAATTGTACTGCAGGATTATTTAAAGATAGATACAAAAACCCCACCCACTTACCCAGCCCCATATTGCTATTCGTTTCTCATCAATAAAACCCATTTCTATAAATTTCCTGTGGAAAAGAAAATCACAGAAATAAATGCATTATTATAAAGGATTGCTAATACTATAACAAATTAGCAAAAAATAATTTCACTTTCACTTTTTTCCACACATCCCACCAATTTGAGCAAACTGACAATCAGCATAGCATGTTCACTTTCTACAAACCACCAATTATTCAATTAAAAGCTATTTCAGAGGAAAAAGAAGAATTTTTCTTGAAAGACTAAAAAATGCTAAAATTGATACTTTCTTCATAATAATTTTTGTTCCAGTGAATAAGGACTCTGTACAACTGGCTTCTTGGCAAAAAAGTTCTTTTTTCTTATAGTTAGAATCCACCTGGGTATTTAGTCCAGACTAGATTAAACATCATACATTATACTCATACTGTTCATGTGCATATATACAGACGTGCATATACACTCACACATGCAAGGAAAAAAAGGTTCAAAGAGTGTACTCCTACTAATAGCCACATTTCATTTTCCATAGCTCTACCTTCCCACAGGCTATTTTTGTTTTCATCATTTTAATAGCAAAGGTGCTGGATTACCATTAACATTCAGACCTTATCCTGCAAGATCCTCAAAATACTCATCTTACAGCCAGTTGATACTCTGATCTCTCAAGAGGCAAAGTATCAACTTCTGAGATTAGCGATACCCTGGAGCAGTAAACTTTCTTTATGTGCCTGAAAAGTGAAGAGCACATACTACTGCTACAATAAAAAGTAACAATGAGGAAAACATCTTCTATTGTATTTTCAGAGCTGTATTAGCAACAGCAAAGAAAAGAGGATGAGACAAAAGACCACAAAGGTTCAAGAGTGGCAGATAGCAAAATAGGTTCAGATACATCCCGGGACACTCACTAGCCTTATTTTACTAGGACAAGCAGGAGTGATTGATGACACCCGCGATACTATCTGGGTGGGACAGTTAGAAAAGCTAAACAATGATTCAGCTTTGTTATATTGCTGTCTTATTCCCTGGGGTTCCTCCTACAGTAAAAGCCCCTCCAAGAACTTCCCACTAGAGTATAAGAGCCTCTCTAAAAATCACGGATCTTAAACCATGTGTTAGATCAGGAAGATGGAATGCAATACATTTAACTGAATAAAAATTTAGTCTAGGTGCTGACAGGAAACTGGGAAGTGTGAAGTCTGAGGTCATTTCTTCACAGCCTGTCTCAGCAGATTTTGCAGCTACAGAATCAGTTTAGGTTCTTTCTGTCTCTGACATTTTATGTCTGCGTGACGATTCAGAATAATAAAACCCAATTCTCTTTCTTATGATATACTAAAGTATGCCATTGCTGCTAAAAGTTTCCAGAAAGAAAATCAAATAACACATTAACAGAAAAACCTGACATGATACACAGCTATTCTGTTTCATTTATCACTGAAAAGGATAATGGTGTGTTTATGTCACTGAAGAGGAATTATCACAAAGCAGCAAGAGGAAGCAACAAACACCCTCCTCACACACACTTCTAAATACAGTTTTGCTACAAACTTCACATTTGACCTTTAGCTAATCACTGTGGTACATCACTATGGATCTTTGGCTAATGACTATGATCACTGATGTAGGTGTGCCCTACAGGGAAAACTTCAGAATAATGGATAATACATTGGCTTACCTCTCACCACTGGCACTTGTATTTCCTAAGGCCGAGGACTGAAGCCTCTGATGATGCTCTGATAAAATGGAAGTGGTGAGGTCCAAACGTGGACTTAGTAGTACATGGACTTAATATACCACACAAAACCTCACTGACATCACGCACCACAGTAGTATTTTATTTCTACAAGTCTTGTCTTATTTCCTGGAGACCTCAGCTCTCCCGAAGAAAGGTTGAGAAATATACTTACATTACTTCTTGTAGGTATGTAAATACAACAGTTATACAGGGAGATATTCTACTTACTTTACTGCTGAGATTTGGTCCTCAACTTCATAGACTCCTAGTCTTCGATATACTGCATGCAAAATCTTGTCACCTTGATAAGCTGTCCCTCTGCCATCCACCAGAGCAACAATAATTCCTTCTTTGCTTGCAAGATAGGTTATCCAGCTAATGCTAAATGTTTCCTTTACGTTCTGACTGCAAGGTCCTCCATACCTGAGGATGAAAATTTACACATTTTCAACTCATATTTCTAAATTTATAAATGATTACCAGATGCTGGACTATAGCTATAGGTACTTACATTTTCTCCACAAGTATTTTGCTATATGGCTGTGGTTCAGAGTGCAGTAGACAAACAGTTCAACTACCATTTTCTTATCTTTGTGAGATTTTGCTATCTCAAATCCATTTTAATCCTTTAGGTCTTATGCCTAAGGCAAATCATTAGGTTTATTTCAGTTTAAGGGGTGCAGCATCAGGTGCTTGTCCTAAAGGAAGAGTGATGCCTCAAAGACTCAATTCTTTCCTCTCTCCAAATTCCTTAGATATAACAGCACTTTTTGGTGCTCTTCTGCATTTGATCTCCACATGCAGTCAGTAATGCCAATGAAAACGAGAAAAGAAGTACAGCTCCTTACACTTCCTGGCCATCCCTAGACCTTTGTTTCAGTAGGGAACATCATGTGCTGTTGGAGCTGTGGGCAGAACACACCCCACACAGCTGAGCAACAGAGAGACATTCCTCATAAGAATGGCCTAATGCAAATTATACATTTGACCTCAAGGACATGACTGACTTAATCTACTCTAAACTTCATCCAAACATACTTAGCATTCTTGGACCTTTGGATCATCACTGGTTAATAAAAAATGATGTAAGGTTTATTACACCCACTCAGCTCTCCTTTCTGCCTCTAATTTTTTTGCACCACTGCAATTTTTGTTGCCTTTCCTGCCTGCGATAAATTAATGTCAAATGCTCTTTAGAAGGTACATTTGATCAAAGAAGCCAATCCATGTGGTTTAGGAGTGTTTGGGTTTTTTCCTTAAAAAAAGAAGCAGGCTCTTGTATTTTTCATGTTAGCAAGATGAAATCAATAATTTCAGACTGCCTCATGATAAACAGAAGCAGCAAAAGAGCCAAGAACTTGAAGCAACAGCCTGCCATGTTTTTACCCTTTTTCTTTCTCTGAGGAACTCATCTTCGCCATGCTAAGATTAACATTAAAAACCTAACTGATTTCCATTGGGTTGAATTTCTGTTCCAGAAGTATATATAAAAAACGACCACAACAGACAAAACAGAACTAAGTGGTTTTGCTTTTGCTTCACAAAATGCTGCAAACGTCCTAGGTTTTGTTAAATTACAAGAAGTATGTTTTCTGACAAAACAACAATGTTCAAAGAAAGGAAGTGTTACATACACCTGAATAAGCAGAGGGTACTTCTTGGCTCTATCAAACTGTGGGGGTAGAAGCATCTTGTACCACAAAGCTAGAAAAGACATATAAAAGTTATATTGTTAATGGTTAAAATGATTCCTCCAAGCATAATCCAGAGTTTGGTCTAATAGTATATGAAAATGAATCAGCACGAACTACACAATGCATGAACTGTAAATCACAGAACTGATGCAAGTAACTGTTTATACTGAACTGTTGAACAACTTTGAAGACATAAAGTGCCTACTTTTATTTTAATTTAGCTATGCACAGAATTATTATTTCACAGAAGTCCAGGTTCTCAGTTTTCCAGATGCCTAGAAAACCATAGGATTATAACTGTTTTTAAGATTATGATAAATGAGTTTTGGAAACTTTACACTGATCCATTACCATCGACTACTGTTTGTAAAGTCACTAGTGAAAACACCAGAGTATGCAAGTCAGTAGAATGTGTAACAGACAAACGGCAGTTTACATGTCACATTTTCTTACCACCATACTATGTTTTTACACGATATTTAAACACTTTACCAATAGTATTGAAGAATTTAAAAAAAAAAAAATTGCATTGTGAAGCAGAGGTGTATTTTCACTACTGTTTTACTGAGAGATACCCTGAGGCACAGACAAATTGGCTGTTATCAAACAGGGCAGAACCAGGCCTCTTCTTCCCAATGTGACAGGCTAACAAGCTCGTTCTACAGAAAGACGATACTTATTATAAAAAAATGAAGGCAAAATATTAAAATGGTAGGAATAAAAAGTATAATAAAGAGGTGTAATTCTTACTTATACCATCCACTTCAAGTTTATTAATTTCTTCTTTTGGCAGTTTGATCTGTTGCAAAGCAGACTGCAATTCCCAATTGTCTTCCAATACTCTGAGCTCTAAGTAAAAGAAATGTCTGAATTATTAATTAATTTATTGTTAATTCCTCCATTAATTGAGATTCCTTTATTTCATGTTATTAGAACAGAAAGGAAATCTGTGAATTTTACAAGCAGAGTAGTGAAATCAACTCAGACACTTCCAATTGGGCTTGACCACGTAGCTAAATAAAAGGAAGGCCCTGGTATTAGAGTGCACAAATATTAACTAGATTTTTATAGGAGATACATTTTGCAATGCAAATCATTTCCCATGTTGCCTCTGAGTGTTAAGAGTCCTGGATGTTATGAAGAAGCTCCTTTCTCCTGCAGAGTTCTCATCCCAGTTTCATAATACACTGGGAGCTGGAAATGCAAAATTCATCCCCTCATGCAAAACACAGACCTATATCTCCTCTCTTGCTTACTACAGTAACATCAGTTTAACCTCTGAGACCCTTGGGCATGTGGTTAAGCACATAGATGTTTGGGAATATCTTGTTTCTGGGCTAACACAGGAAATTCAGTTTCTTAAGAGGATGTGGCAAATCCTTGCTTCACCACTGCACAGTACATTTCTACACAAAGATACTAGACTTACCGTATAACTGTCCTTAGTAATACATTACTGCACACTTAGTGAACGTCTTTTGGTTTTATTTTTTAATCCAAAAAGTATTTACATTTTTTGTTTTACCTGCTTTAGACCCAATTTACAGTAATATAATTTAAAAATTACTACGTAAAATTTCCAGCATAGACTGCAGAAGTATATATTATGAATCCACTGGGTATTACTTGTTTACTTATGTGTTTTCCCATGAGTAGTGATGGATGAAGAATGGAAATGGAAATCTGTGACTTTTAGCTTCACTTTCAAAACGAAAAAATCTTTTGAAACGGCAGGAGATTTTTCTTTGTTAGTTTACTTTTTTTTTTTTTTTTAATGGCAACCACTTCCTGTTTCTGGAAATGCTCAAAAAAATACAAGAATTCTGTCTCCCAGCACGTCTTGAGTTAGATAGTGCTCAGGACATGCCAGAAACATAACATCGGAATTTGTTCTTTCAAAGTACTCTTGACAAGTTTTGCAGATTCAAATGGGTTTTTATGGCTGAAAGATCATCCTAGCTTTGGATACTCACCTAAACTCAGCTGAACCCTTTCCATCCTTCCCCTCAAAACTCCTGAAACTTGCCATTTACCACAAATGAATAGTAGGCACGCTGGCAGGAGCTTCCAAACTGGTGCATGTTAGTTTAACTGCATGCCTCCTACTAAAAATCATGGGTGATATATTTTCAAAATGCTGCCAACTGCAATGAAAACGGATCTACTAAAAATAGTTTTACATCACAGAAAAGATTATGAAAGCAAGGGACTTAAGGAAAATTAATCAAAAAAAAAAGCCATGAAATAGTCAAAGAGAAGCCTGAATTGTTTTTATTCCTGAAGAATAATAGCACAGCAGAATGAGGTATCATGAAACCAGTGGTGAAGATCCATTAAATGAAACTGTTCTCTCCTGCAGAGAGGTTAAGAAACACGTATTTGTAGTTGGGCACAGCTTCGTTTCATTCAATTCACACGCTGACAAGGAAGTAGTAGGGGCCCTTGACACACAAGGTCATAATGAAAGAGAGAGCTATGACAATGGATTAAATATGAAAAAATCCATGCATTAGCTGTATTTTAATCTTTAAACCTATTTAAACCTTCTGCAAAAGAAATACCAAAAGAACACAGTGTTTTTATAGCACAATTGCAATAGGCATGTTGACGAATCTTTTCCATCTACAAACGTTTTTGAGTGGTTAAAAACTAAGATGTACTGACTCCTATTGGAGTCAAAATAATCTTACATTGCAATTCGTTGACTTCTGCATGAATCACTACTGATTAATTTAGCTTAACAATATTGTGGCATTTGTCTTCCTCATGTTTTTATGTGTCTTCTGGTCAGACAACACTCAGTTAATAGTGGGCCAATATGGGCCGAACGGTAAGGACTGTGGCATTAGAACTACCAGTGCATTTCCACTGATTACTGGGGAAGGAAGGGGGAGTGCCAAATCACTGAAGTTTTTATGGGATCATGCTAGTTTTCGTAACATTTCAGGACTGAGGGCTTTAAGTTGGAGAAGAATTTGTAAGGAAAATCATGAGACAGAGAGAGAAAACTCACTGCAGAGCAATCAATATTTTCATGGCTAGCAAATTTCTTGTTTGCCTGTTGCAAACAGTCCTCACTAACAAGCTACTTAAAGAATAAAGTCTCTGAATGTTTCTTGCTGGAGTTCCATTTTCTATCAATAATTACACCTTGTCTGAAGCAGTTATTTGACCTGATCATCTGAAAGAGCTTCTGCTCTTCCCTGACATCTCTACAGATGGCTGAAGAGAAAGTCACTGATCTAAATTCTAATTAGTGCAGCACAATAACTCAAACTGCAAACTCTAAATAGTACACTGTTGTATAGCGTAGGGTTGCTTCATGAAAAAACTCAGAAAGTCCTATGCTCATCCAAATGTGAAAAGGAATAGATTGGAAATGACAATAATGTTTTCTGCAAAGTTTGACTCAGTATTTGGTAGACAAAGAGTTGCCAATGTTCATTGCAGCTATAGCGTGTAAACAGGAAAAACATCAAGATGCTATGAAAGTGCTGGACTCAGGAATGAAAATAAAGGCATCAGTGTGTTCCTTGGTATTTGGATTTTACTCATTAACAAATCTAGAGAGACACTAGATATTTTAATATCAAACAAGATGAAAGGCTTCTTGACCACAATCCTAAACATTGTATTACAGGATCTGCATAGTGAAAATCAATGAGAAAAACAATTGCTCAGATATAGGCAGGATATTTGCAGTACCTCTATCACCATGGTTCTCAAAAAGAGTAGAAATGGGAATCCCAGGACCTGTCATAAGAATGATAAGAAGGCAGTTTATACTCTGGAGCTGGAATTTGGTGATGGAGTGTGTATTACATTAATACTGACAACTAACAGGTGTTAAAGAGCTCAAAGTTCATACACAAATCTGTGGTATAACCCACTAGTCCTTGATGCATGAAATACGTGAAGTACTGTGTGTACAGCATACATACAGGTATTGCTTAGCAAACATAATAGAAGTAACTTTAAATCTACTAACAAACTCTTCCTCCCTAGAGATGAAGTGACATCTAGTTAATACCTGAGATGTGATTACATAAGGCGAATGCAGAATTAACAATGTGAAACATTCTTCTGAGAACATGTCACATTGTATTTGTGAAGGTGAGTGGCTTTCATACGGTGATGACCTCACTGACTTATTTTGCGCAAGAATGATTGAAAGGTGTTATTATTTGCTACATTTGCTTCTCTGCTCAGCGGATGTTCTAAGTAATTCTTCAGCTGATCAGTCAGTGCAGAATCAGAAGAACAGAAAACTTTATATGAAATACGCAAAAGGATATTTTTCTTTCCTTTTTTTTTTTAGATTGTGAGTTCACTGTTCTTTGATTACAGCAATGGATGAAACCTCAGATGACTGAAATCACCTAACATTTCGAAAGAGCTAAGACTTCATTTAATAATTCTGTGTTATAAGTGGTTTCAATGATCACACATCCTGAGGAACTGAATTTTTCTTAGTTCAGTTATTAAAAATGTTTTCAGGCAGTAAATATCCAACATTTTGTGGCTGACACAGGTTTTAGTAATTTCTATTGGGAAACACATTGTAGTAGTTTGTCACAGCTAACTTTGATCCCATGAATTGGAAATCAATGTGTGTTTCTAAATCCTGCTTTTGCTGCTGCAAGAGAAAGCATGACTTTGATGAGCCAGAACAGAATCTGTTTTGTGCCATGAAGGACTTTCATGAATTTGTTTTTAATTCTAAAAATCCCAGGATTTTTGTTTAAAAAGTAAAAAAAAAATAATAAAAAATCTACAACTCTGACAAATTTGAAAGAATGACTAGATCATATGTTTGCTCCCACGCTATACATACCATAACATATCAAGGCATAATACTTAGAACGTTCACTGAACCTTGCTGTATAATACTGGCATCTCTCTTTTCTTAAATTGCAAGTAATGCATTGTTTTCTGATAGGTTTACTTCCAATACTGATTCTAGGAGAAAAATAAAATAAAGCAATATTTATTTTGCTACAACTAACTTCACATGTGTCTGTCTCACATTCTAGACCATAGGCACTGTACTTTCAGAACAGTTCAATTTAAAAATAAATGTTTTCCCTTTTTATCAATTTTTTTTTCCCAAGTGTATATTTACACTTTAGATGCTGTTTCTCCTCAATTCTCATATATAATCCAAGGTCAAGATTTAGTTAAAATAGCTTGTGAAATTACACTTTAAACATCTTGAAACTAAATTATTTTATTGACAAATCCAGAGCTATCTTCTATCAACCTAGTATCATTAAGATAATGTTGATAACACTTACTTGTAAATATTCCTTCTTCCTGGAAAGCCTTCAAATTCATTGCTTGAATAGAAACTGTAAATTCATTTATATGTTAATAAATAATCCATAAAATGATGACCTATGAACAAGCATGAAGATGAAAAACCGTCTTGGAAGTTAACTCAGACTTTTCAAGGTTTCTGCATGCAATGGAAGAGTAAGTTAAGTCTATATACCTTTTATCTTAATAAATTTTTGCTCAAACTCTGATTAGATGACAAATAAACCATACAAATAGGACTCCTGAGCTAATCACTCCAATTATGTAAACTGTATCTATCTATCTATCTAGTAAGCTGAATAAGAGACCATAAAAAGAGAAGTAACTGCAAATCGTATGAGGGTTAATCACATGGTTAAATTTAAGCACTTCTAAATAAGTCTCTCTAAGACGGGTGATTAAAAATAAGTAGAAAAACAAGGGCAATTTGCAAACAATCTCCCATAAGTAAACCAAGTTTGCAAACCTGTGCAGTGCCTTTGCATACATATTTGTTGTGGATGCATTCAGATACAAAACAAATTATACCTGGTTATAACTTGATGAGTCAGCAAACAGTGTTCAAATGATTAAATGTCGGGTTTACTGACAACACTCACAACCTGTTTGCTTCATGATACTTACATTGCATCATTTGTTACTCTGAAAATGTATATTGCCTCCCATTCTCCACTTGTAATTTGGATTGCATTTTCCTGTGAATCAAGACATGTAAATTACTGAATATTGTAGAATTATTTTAGGAACTTACAGAAGATCAATGTAGAACCGTTTGCTTGACTTACCACAGAGCCATTGATGTAATGAATATGTTTATAACCATTTTTGTCACTAAAAATTTTGTAGTATGAACTGCTGTCTGATGTAAAATATGGTGTAGAAACAAAGAACTGAAACGATGGAAGAAAAATGGTAGATGAGATGTAAGTAAGACTGTCCAAGCTGTTTAGCAGATTATAGTACACATACTAAAAGTAACAAGACTAATCAGTTCAGATGGAACAAAGTACTTTCCACAAGTCTTTACCTGCAATATTCAGTCTCCCAGTTAGTACACATTACCATTTCTAACCTGTCTTGTCAGATTTCTTAAGCTGATAATGTAGATACCTCAAGCACCCCACATGTGCAAGCTCTCTACTTGTTAAATGGAATAATCTGTTTGCATATTCTGAATGACCTTTCTTCAGCTTTTTAAAAATAGGTAGAGGTGATTTTTAAAAAATCAGTTTCTGAATAAAGCTGATGCTCATGAGTAGTGCTAGACTGGAAATCCTGTGGACCACAGAGTCTGACTGATTCTCTGAGCAGCTACAGCACTAAGTAAATGGATATCTGAAGTCACCCATACTATTCCACTTATCTGGGATAAACAGATTATCCCAGATAAGACCATTCAGCTTTTGCTTCCTTTCAAACCATCACCTCTGTACTGAAATTGTCAGTCAAGGATGAATTATTGCAACTGTGAGTTTTCTTTTCAAAACATGAACACAGACCTGCAAGTGCTTCAAACATAGCATCAAACATTCCTGAGGGAGTATGACTTTTGAATAGTACTAACCCAAGCTCGACTAGAACCTGTGACCACAAGCTAAAGTGTTCTGGAATCTGCTTCTAATATTCCTAATGCTTGAAATCCCATAAAGGCTAACACAGGGATTTATGCATGTGTGCAATTTCTTTAGCTCTAATAAAAACATGTCATCACAACCTCAAGAGAAGTGGAGAAGAAAGAAAGGGGCCAAGTAAAATAACTAATCCTTGTAAATGTGTAATCTTCACTTCAAATAAAAACACATCTCTTAAAGGACAGTGTACTGAAAATTGAAACTAAGTCCACTGCAGGATATTCAGGCACAGTGTGAGGTTCTCCATATTGAATTCTGGTAACTTCACCTGTCTGAGAAGTAAACATAAACAATAACACATATTCACTGTTACAATATACGACTGTAAATACTCTTCTCATGCTCTTACTATTTCCTTGCAGGTTTGTTTTTACCATGAGTTCCTAAAGACACGTGTTGTGTCTCTTTCGAGATAAAAGGTTACCGGGTAGAGAAATTTTCTTTTGTTTGGGAGCAGCTGCAGAGAAGTATCAGCGACCATTTAAGTGGGGTATCTTACCTTGAAGGTTCCTCCCTAGCTGAAGATGTGCAGCACTTGGCCCTAAAACTGTGTTGTGAATGGACAGGTTTTATTCTTAACTCCATAATAATATATCTCTTGCCCTAGTGACATCAGAGGAATTTTACATCTATTTTTTGCCTTCAGGATGCTTCTAAGAATGATAATTACGCTGCAGTATCAATCTACCTCTTTTCACTACTTCCTTCTCTTCAGTATAGTGTCTAATCAGGTGGTCTACAATTTGCAAAAGGAGACAGAAAAAGGGTTTTTAAACTCAGAAAGCAGGTAGCCGCATACTATGCCTAGCACGGCATTGAACGCCTCAATCCTACAGTGCAACAGGTTTAAGCAGTAGCGTCGTATGACTCAGAATGGTGCTCCATGTTTCAAAAGACTGCTGTCAAGATGCAGAAAGCTGCAGCTTTTCATTAAATCAAAACAGAGTATAACAAGAAAACCTACTCCGCCTGCCCATCCTGTTTGACTCTCTTCTATGTGCTGTTGATTCTGAAAAACAAAATAAAACGTACACTCTTTAAGAAGTTCAGGAATGAATTTATGGCGATTCAAAATCTTCAAATAAAAAATCTGTAGCTGCCCATAAAAGAGAATTTTAGAATACTTGCTGTGAGGGTTCAGGGACTTGAAGGCTGTCCGAGTTAACAATATTACAGTATTAATACTATTATGTTAGTTAAAATATTATTTTTAACAGCTGTCATCAGAGCTAAACAAAATCTAAAGTAATTGTTTTAACCTTATCCAACGTTTTCACTGAAAGCAGGAACTAACAACTACTTAATCTTATGAGTTTGTCAGTATAAAACAAAGTAATATAATTTCAGGAATAATAATATTAAAAATCTGTATGAGATTCTCAGCTGGTCCATTTGACATATTTCCTTTAATTTAAAAGTTGTGATGTTGATTTAGAACAGCAGATAATGTGACTACTAGGCATATCTTTTAAATGTAAACCTTAAAAATGCAAGCCAAATACTTTAACAAAGTAAAGCACATGGAAATCAAGGGTCTCCATATTTGGTGCTCAGATTAGAGATAACAAAGGGCCTGATTTTCAACACTTTAAAAAAATCTCACAAACAGCATATTTAGAAAGAAGAATTAAGGATTGGCAAACATAATGTTTGCAGCAAAGATCACCCAGATTATCATATCCTGAGACTATGAATATTAGTTTAGCAGGTCTTAATGCCTTAACATTCTTAAAGCTGATTTAAAAAAAAGACTTATACTGAGCATAAATGGATCAGTACCTCCTGTAGCTACATGTGCTTTTACATTTTTATTTAAGTGTTACTTATAAATTTTCTAGTGCATTTTCAATACTTTCCTACGACTTTCTCATTGAAGAGTGTAGTATCTTGCTTGTTGGATGCAGCAAGTGATTTAATATTTAACAATTTTGCATTCAATCAACGTATTTCTTTTTTTATCTTACAAACTTTTCATTTTACTGTTAATTTAATACAGTATTTCTTCACAGTCTGAAATAAATTCAACAAATTTGCTTTCTAAAGTATATGGTTTGTATTTGTTATCCTTAATGTAATCTCATCAGCATTCAGAATCATGCTTTGTCCATTTCAACTTAGTCCCTGCAAAGTCACTTATTTGAGCAAAAGATGCAGGTACTTGCCCCTTAGAAGACTGTTCAGTATTTTGCAAGGACTCCAATGAGAAGATGGATTTTATTTCTTGTTAAGATAATAAAAAAGGGATGTATTGTTTTGTATCTGCATCCTTATTTTCTTTTCTTTAAATGACAGTTCAGTTCTTGATGACACAGTAAATTAAGGATATATTTAACTTCTCTCATACAAGTAGTCCCATTTTATGTGATTCTTCTGTGTATTAAAGTATTTGCAGAATTTAGTTAGAGAACTGGCATCTTTATAGGAAATCCCAATTTCACAAACACATGCCTAGCTTTTGCTCACATGAATAGTTCCACTGAAGTCATATTGGTTTCTATGGTCTACTCAGATGAGCAAGACTTGAACACGTGAACATTTTGACACTTTAGGAACATCTTGTAGATCACATTTTGTTATTATTTTCAAGTACATAAAGCCTAGCACATTTATTGTACATTCGAGTCTCGATTTAATCTGAAATCAACATGAAAACTATTTTTGCCAATGGAAACGTACAGAGATATACTTTCTAACTGCAAATAGAGCTAATGCAGCACTCCCATCTGTTCACACTCCTTCAATTGGCCATTTGTGCAAACTTTAATGTGATAAAAGCATTGTATCACTGTATAAATATAGAATTATAGAAACGTCAGTAGTGACTCCATAAATAAGGTTCCATGGAGAAACGCAATTAAACAAGGATCATGAACACAGTCCTGCAAGATGTTAATTGTTCTGGTCTGGTTCCAGCAAAGCAATTGAGCACATGCTTAATTTTAAACACATAAATAGACCTGCTGAAATAAATAAAACTGCTTACATGCTTAAAGTTAAGCTTGTTTCAAAGGACTTCGGTGGATTGTGATAGAATCCTAGAACACTTGATTTTTTTTTTTCTGTATGTTAAAATATTTAGTTATTAAAATGTAGGTTACTTTCAGGTGAAACAGAGATTCAGTGTTAATGTACTTATGAAACGGAACAATCACTTAGGAAACACATCAAATGCTGCAGTAAATCTGTATTTTTTCCTAAGAAATTAAGATATTTCTCTGTGGAAAATTACTTCAATGATAATGTTTTTGAATGAACAGGACCTTAACTTCCTTTTAAACTTAACACAATTGTCATGTTATAGGGGAATAAAAATAATTTTCAGCTTGGAAAGGCTGTGTCAATAAACTCTGAATTTACAATTTATCAGTTATACAGAACACTTTTATAAGTATTCTTGCCTTTTATTTCCCATTAGTTCAAGGTTTCAGCCTAATGCTGGTTTTTATAGGTGTTCTGTACCACAAACTCTAAGAACAAGACATGCAAACAGCATCAATACTAAAAGACAATAAATAGAACTTCTGTACTGGAGTTACTGAAATTCAGGGTTATCCTATCTATATGAATTTATCAGTGTCTACAGTCTGCAGGCTTTACAAGGTCTTTTAAAGAAATATTTTTTTTCAGAAAGGTGTCTGGATGTAAGATCTATAACTATTCACATATAGGTATAGATAGCCAGGCCATCTAAGCTATCCTTCTGCTCAGCAGAGCATGGTTTTCCCTCCAAACTGTCTTAATGACAGAATGACATATGTCAACAAAATGTAGAGCTACTGTTGCAACTAGCCTGAAGTTTTCTTTTCAGATCTGAAAAAGGGACTGTGTTTCTGAAAACTTGCCTGCTTTCTCTAACTGTACGATTTGGTAAGACAGAAGAATTTCTCGCTCTTGAAAACCTGCCTTACGTTTAATCTGTAGTTCTTTCAACTAATTTAACATTAATCATAAAGGATACAATTTAGTCAGACTTAGTATGAAATTTCAATGTAGTGTAATAAGGTGTTCTTTAAAGCACAATAAAGATCCTATATGGTTCCAATTTTGAAGATGAAGAAGCAAGAAGAACTAAACAATGGTACTGAAAGTTGCTGAATAGCATTCTTCTTATTTTTGTTGCTTTCATTGTTATTTAAGCCTCACTAAAGAAATATTTTGGTGATTTTGTTTCTTGTTGATGTAATTAAAATTTTTTACTCCTCCAACAATTAAAATATTGAAAAAGGTATCACTAGTAGCTAAAAGATGAATGCAACTAAACACTGGAAAATATTATTATGGCAGGTACACAATTATTTTCTAAAAGAACTCAGGGTGAGTTTAAATATACTTACTGCAAGTAAGTCAGAGCAACCTGTGCATGACCAGTAGGTGTTAAAATAGCTATGCAGATGAGATTAGCAAATGCTAATTTCAGCAATATTAAATTTATATTTCAAACTTTATTACCTCTGGACAGTCCCAAGTATTTGTATTTTCTTGGAAGTCACAAATAGCTAAGACAGAAAAATTCTGGATTCTCTTTAGCCATTGCACACAGATTCGACTATCTGTTACCCAAGTAAGCCAAGTAAAATAATGATCACTAAAAAATAAAAGAAAAAAAGAAAGAAATGGTGGTTATTAAAGGAGTATAGAAGCATTGCTACAGATTGTATCCCCCATATTACTCTGTGGAAGACGACAGCAAAGCTTTCACTGTCTTAGGGATTTTTTTTGTCCTTTGTAACAATGCACCATATGGACAGACAGAACCAAAATAAAACATTTCTTGTTAGCTTCTAATCGAGCAAGTAGAGGAACATGGCACTCCACTGTTAGAAACAGAAAACAACTCAAAGGTTCAAGCAATCAAAATACACAGACAAAAGCGTGTTTTTTTTTTAAAAAAAAAGAGAATACGTATTTGAGAGCACACTACCTGGATGCTATGACTGCAGGAACTGGCACCTCCTTAGGACCAAACACTTCAGGGTTAATAGTGTCTACAATAAACACTTTAACAGTAGGATTTTTAGCCCCAGCCTTCAAAGAAAATGTATCAGGTTATTCAAATCAGGGTCTGAACAATTCAGGTTGAGGAAAATTACAAGACTTTTTGCAAGAAAGGATATAGGTTACAAAATACGTATTCAGTTGAGTATAATAGGGCAAATGTGGTCTTACAAGATCTCAGAGTGACACTATAGCAGTTGTACATTACTTAACTTTGCATCATTTCATATACAAGGAAGAAAAACTTTTAAGCAGTCAAATTTAGTGCCTTTCTATGCAGAAAACATGCTTGATGGGAACCAGTGTTCTATTTGCGGTGTGGATCTTTGCAGCACACACTACACTTACTTTGGCATAAAACTCCAGGAATATATTCACATGACTGCAAGTGCTCTTTGACACCCCAGCTGTGAAATAAAATGGTTTACCTTAAACTGATTTGATGCTTGCTTATTCATCGCATACATTATTAGTTTTTTAATTCTCCTTCCATGTGTGGTCTAAATCATCCAGCTTTACTTTAGCAATGTAACCCAGCTGACAGGTTAGTAACTTCTAAAGATACATTAACATGATCACTTGCAATCATACGAATATGACAAGAGTCAGGAGAGCTCTCTAATACATGCTGAAGAAATGCCAACCCAAACTCTTCTTGCCTTAGATCTGGCACTTGAAAGCAGTTAAAATCCAAAGCCCCTTGAGATCAAAAAGCACTATGAAGTGTGCAAATAAACTGAAGCTGTCATAGCCTTTATTTTTCAAAATAAAAAATGCTTCATAATTCATTTACTCTAATGAAAAATAACAACTGTACAGTTAACACATCACAATAAGTAAGCTGAACTGAAAAAAGCAATTGATCATGCAAGCATGCACTTTTGCACATGCTTTTTACTTAAATGAGTAATTCAATTTATTTCACTGATATTATTAAATATCTACAGTTTTGAATGTACCTATACCTTCTCAGAACTTGGCCTAAGTTTGCTTCGTTTCATTAATTTAAGCCACAATGGATTTAACCACTGTAATACAACCATCTTTTAGGCACAGTTAATTTTATCATCGTCATAACTCATTTCTCAACAGAAAGTAAGTCAAAAGAATGAGAAAACATACCTTTGGGTATGGGATAATTATTTTTCTAGGATACTGGTCCTCACCAAAATATGAATATTCAATAACTGGTATGTCAGAATCATTAAATTGCACATATGCTAAATATTTTCCACTTGGAGACCACCACAGCGCGTATTTTGTCGCTAGCATTTCCTCTGAGAAAAAAAAATTAATTCATAATAGTTTATCATTGTAATCTATGAATCTTCTAATGTATTTTAGCATTCCAGTATTAGCAATCTAGACATGTAAAAAGACTTATACTAAACAAATAACACCAAACATATTGTAATACATCTCAATTCTGAAAGGCCTTAAGAACTCTCAAAACAGGCACACAGATCCCATTTAACTCACTTAGGTTTTTCCTGTGTGCATGTGTTTATTTCTTTTAAATTTTTTTGATGCACTGAAGTGTCAAATTTTCACCAAAATTAAAACATCCGTTAAAGCTTAATTCGCAATCACTGCCTGTGCAGCAGAAGGAAGTGCAATTTATAAAGACTCAGGATTTTAGTTACACACTATGAATGTAAAACACAGTCATGTGCCACATGAAATATGGAAATCAAGTAAGTAATCCTTAGGGCTCTAAAAATAATGTATCAAAACAGATACCTTAGAATGGATTGTGAGAACTAGGTAATCTAAAGAAAGCATTTAACATTAGTTGTTGCCCTTCAAGATTTACTTACCTTCATAGACCCAATCAGGAATCCCATTAAATATTTCATTCTGTTTTCCATCACTAGTTATTTTAATTGGTGCTTCTCTTGGACTTCGTTTCAAATAGATATTATTCTGATATACATAGACCTAAAGACAAGAAAGTGTCTTATACTTATGAGTATAGGCACCAATAACAGGGGTCAGAGTAAGATCTTCTGCAGGCAATGCTCCTATGTTATACCAACAAGAAGACACAATGAATACAAAATGGGAAATAAATGCTACACTAAAAGCCCTTGCAAATTCTGCAAGAGTAGGTACCTTAGTAAATAAATTATACATTACAGGGCAAATTCTATGTTCAACTATGTAAGAATAACTCCTGAACAACTCCTTTGATTTTAATAAACCTCAGAGGATTCTGTGGCTAGCTTTGGTGTGGAAAATCATGAAAAGAAAAATCTTTGAAACTCATTCAAATGACTGTTTTTTTTAAAAGACCCTCAGACAAAGTGGTTTGTGACTTTTCCTTCTGGTTTCATCAAATGTAGAAGATAAAAACAAATACACAACGACCAAAAAGGAAATAATTGGACTTTTCTAAACCTGTCAAAAGGCCTAGGTGATGTGAGACGAGACAAAAAAAGGTTTTACTCTGTCTGGGTTGGTTTGTTGCTTTCTAGTAAATTAGCTACCAAAAAAGTGTTCTTGCAAGAAATGTTTGCAGGCCTCAGGTGTCTCCAAAATTCAGTTGAATGAACATGTGGTTAAGAAATGAGCATCAGAAACATCACTTAGAAAATCATGCCTTATGAAGCTATAAGCATTTGTTAGCAAGATCAATGTAACATTTTAACTACTTTGTGCTTTAAATGAAAAACAAAGCTACTCCTAAAACTCTCAAATACAAGAAACATCATAGATATTAGTACTAGGAAGATAGGAAACTATCTTCATTGTGTTCTGTCTTCAGAATTCTTGATAAAGAAAATAACAATATTTAATTTAGTTGAGAGAACTAATACTGTCCTAGCATATGGAAAATTTTTCCTAATAAATTGTCCATTCATATTTAGCTCACTCTCTGGGTATTTTCTGAAATTAGTATGACGTCTAAAAATCTTTCCTTGCACAAATATTTTGTCAATACTGAATAAGTAGTTAGAAAACCAGTAACTATTATTGGGCTGATGCTTTGGAATCAAGAATAGAAATAGTTCATAAACTTGTTACTATATGCAATAGGTCTATTATAATTAGAAATACACACTTGGCTATCAAGTGGCTATTAAAAAACCCCCAAACAACACTGTTTGTAATAAGAATCTGGCAGACATTTCCTAGAGTAAAAATTTTAGAAAAGACTTTAAATACTGCATCTCTAAATCTCCATAGTAAACTCATGTGTTATACAGCATCAAAGGAAACCACATTGATTTTCAGGCCTTGAAACTACATTTAATCCCATACACAATTCTGTTGGTCAATCCTTGATAAAACACTGGCTAGCAAACTGAAGCAGATAAAGTAGCTGAGAACATGGATTCTTCTACTGAGACACAGACAGATTAAATTATAACAACCTAAACCAGTTTTCTTTGTCATTCTTGCTCACAACAGAGGTTAATACACACAGGCCTGTCAAAAATATGGCCTAACAACATAATAACCAAAGGCAAATAAAAGTCTTCTAGCCACACGAGGTAAAACCATTCCAGTGCTGCTTTATCTTTACTGACCAGTTTGTGTCCAACAGGTGACCAGGATATATACTGAATTTTATGTGGAAGCTGACTTTCTGTTACAAAACCACTAAAAAAAAGGAAAGAAGTTGAGATGGCTTTTTGTGCACAGTGCAAATGGATCATTATATTGTACATTCATATAAAATTCATGAATGGCTAGATTTTCTAACAGCTTATTGTTTCTTGAGCAATGCAAAATTAAGGCAGGCAATGAGACATGCAGTAATGTGATGGTGTGCACCCGTGCTGGTAAAGGCTTGCAACTCAACTCTTTGAAAACATATTCAACAGCCTAAAAAGCCACCTTATCTCTTTCTAAATACTGCACAAGTATCATTTGCTTTATCTGCAGTCTGCATTACAATCTCAGCAAGTTATTGGGAAACGTGAACTCAGGATACAGCATGCTGAGGCAAGCACAACAGCAGCAGCTACATTTGTTAAGGATCACAACCCACATGCAGTACCTCTCTACTCACATCAGCTTGCAGCAATCTTTTCCTGTCACCTTGAGCCAACAGTTTTCCAAGAACGGAGCAGCTCAGTGCAGCCCCTGTTGCTCAGAACTAAGAAGCATTTGGTCACACTGCTACTTATCGCATAAAAAGGTGACTGGAGAGGCAGATGGCCTGGTTTCGGGAAGATCTTGGGAAAGAGACCAAATGCCATGGGAGAAGCTGTAAACTTTGGAGGAACCCAGGATGGGTTGTTACAAGATCACCAGAGCACTAAAACACATATGAGAGTTTTAGGAAGAGATTAGATGTTGGACGATAAGATGAACATGAGCCAACAGAGTGCGCTTGCAGCCCAGAAA